ATATATATATATTACGTGGTTTCTCTTATAAACCCAAAGTATAATTAACTTAACAAATAAGAGATATAATGGGAAACAGGGAGATAGATCTAGATAAAGGGAACCAAGAGATGTAGGGAGAGGGGAGGGGAGGGCATAGGGAAGTAAAAAGAATTAAGATGCGTACATTTACCAACTCCATGATGAATGTAATTATTAGGTACCGAAACGTGATACATTTTAAATAAAATTTTTTAAAATTTTTTCTTAAAAGTGATGAATAGTACAAATGCAAGAGAATGAGATTAAACATACTAATAAAATAAGAGAGGGCCAGGGATTTAGCTCAGTGACACTGCACCTGCCTCACAAACACAAGGTCCTGAGTTCGATTACCAGTACCCAAAAAAAAAAAAAAGAATGACAACAGATCCTTGGCTATGGCATTGAAGTGGTGGTTGGTGTCTCTTTGTACACACAGTGGGTTGGCAGTAAATGTACCAAAATGTTATGGTTATTTCTGGCTGATGGATTACAGATAAATTTCTTTCTTTAAACTTGTGATTCTCACATTTTCCATAATGAACATTCTTTTATTAGAAAATGTTGGGGGCCGGGATTAGCTCATTGGTTCTGCTGCCTGCTTCGCAAGCACAAAGACCGAGTTCGATCCCCGGTACCAAAAAAAGAAAGTTTTGTTTCCAAATGCCTCTAGTGACCTTCAGAAAAGCATTTTATTTTTGAAGTAGAGTTGTACTAACAGAAGGTATATAAAGGAGGCTTCTGCAGTGAGTAGGTAGTGAGAAAATGGAGGCGGAAAAAGAAAAAAGAACTAGGACAAACAGTCAAGATGTTTTGTCTTCTTTTAATGTAATACAAAGTAATCATTATAAAGCTTATTTTTCCCTTTATTGTTTTGTTCTTATTACTTTGTTCAACAGATATCTCAGATCTCAGTAAGGATATCTTGCTGTCCTCACCTTAAAGTTCTTCGCCTGGAGGAGAACTGTCTGGAACTCAGCATGCTTCCACAGAGCATCCTCAGTGACTCCCAGATCTGTCTACTCGCTGTGGAAGGCAATCTTTTTGAAATAAAGAAACTTCGAGAACTGGAAGGCTATGATAAGGTATGTAGTGAGTCACTGTACAGTTGACCCCTGAAATTCTCTGGGGTTATGTTCCTAGGGTACCTGTGAATTGTGAAAAACCACATTTCAGATATGGTCAGAAAAATATGGATGCCTTTTATGCTACTGTGGCATCTTTTTAGTTCTCATAGTGAATCCAGTGAGTAGTTCAACCCCCTGGAGTGTCTTAAACTTCTTCTGGTGTTTAGGTTCATTGCCAGAAGCCTTAGAAGATGTAGGGCCTTCTGGTGGCATCTTATGCCTTTAAGAACAAAACTAAGAACACTGGAGACGGGTACATGTGGTAGCGGAACAGCTCCCAGTTATGATGTGGGAGTGCTAGTGCATCTTATCTGCAGAGATGGATTACAGGGCAGCAGTCCAATCAGCACCAAGGAGAGCTCAATAACGCTTTTGGATTGGCTACTTGCAAACCTCACACCAAAAAAAAAGTATGGAAGATATTTGTGGTTTTTGCAAAATTGCTGGGGTTTCTGTGATCAATTATTAGATTCTAAGGAAAAATCCGCAAATGACCAAGGCCAGAAACTCTGAACCTTAACCTCATGAGAGTATACTATACATCTACCTTTCTGAGTCACTACCCCAGAGAAGACAACACTGAGATAACCCATATGAATGTATGTAGTTACCAAGTTTTGTTCATTTTGGAGGTTGTTGAAAGAACTGGACAAGTGGTATTGTGCCAAGCTGTCTATGAGACAGCTTACTGTAAAGCATCTTTGATGTTTCATATTAAAGTACAATTTTTAAAAATTACGTGCTTTAAATTTGCATTTAGAATTAGGTTGGGTACTCGCCTTGGCAGCACATATATTAAAATAGAATTCGGTAGGTTTTGTAGAAAATGTATCAAATACAATAAAAACCAAAATGAAAAATTCAGGCTCAGTGGTAGAACACATGCTTAGCTTGCATGAGGTTCTGAGTTTAATCCATAGCACTACTGGGGGGAAAATATTATACAAAAAGACAGACAAATCAAAGCAACTTAAGTAATAAACAGGTTTATTTGCTTGTGCCAAAATATCACATCTGTACTCCTTTCATGATTTTCAGTACATGGAGAGGTTCACAGCCACCAAGAAGAAGTTTGCATGATGTTCTCCATGTCCGTGGGAACCTCTCAGGACACTAATGTGGAGCCTCACTTGGAAACTGACTGCATCAGACTCCTGTTGTGCAGCATATTTGCAGCAAGAAGACAACACTCCATATTTTACTCAGTAATCTTTTCAGGGCTAGCTCACATAAGCCAAAAGAAAAGGAGTCAAGGAGACCCGAAGAATGCTCCCCTTTGAGTCACAGATAGGGCAGTGAACAGTGCTGCTCCTTAACACCAATACCTAGTTGCAATTTATAGGGTGCAGGGTGCTGCCTGCTAACAGAATGGCTGCACCACAGCTTGAGATTGTCTCATTTCGATGTGAGCTTTCATAAAATCAGTTGCCATTCCATGTTTGTGTTCACACTTCGTATTTTTATGTAAGGTATGAGAAGCTGGTGTGGCTAATCTTAAGGATTTATTATTCCAGGGCATCAGTTCAGTTGCAGTGTTTATATTTGGGAGTTTGTAACTGTCTTGACTAGAGTGCGCTGTATTAGAGAAGCACCAATACCACACCAAGAGATGCTCCTAAAGGCTGCAGTAGCAATTTCTTTACTATTGCAGGTGCCTTATTGGTGGAGAGCTCTGAAGAGCTAAAACTGTATATGCAACACTTACAAGAGATTGTAGTGATCAAGATTTTCCTGAAGCTTTGTTAAAAAATTATGTCTTTTCCCCTTTTTGTATTTATAACTCTACTAATAAAAATTACTTTCAGGAAATCTCTGCTATAGTTCGTTTTTTGGTTTTTGGTACCGGGGATTGAACTCAGGACCTTGTGCTTGTGAGGCAGATACTGCACCACTGAGGTATATCCCTGGCCCTTGCTATAGTATTTTCAAATGGCCTATGTTTATCAGGTTTATTCTCTGAATGATTCTTTACTAAGTAAATAATTTTTAATGAATTTTGGGTATAAGATTGTTTAAAGACAAGAACATTAACTTGTAAATGATCCTTTGTTCTTTGATCCTAAATTACCTGTAATTCTTTCTAGCTACTCTGAAAACTGAAGCAGGAGGATCACAAAGTCGCTGGCCTAGACTCAGCAAGAGCCTGTCTCAGAATAGAAAATAAAAAGGGCGTGGTGTGGTGCTGGACATCGCAGCACCCTGGAGGCTGAGGCAGGATCACTGTGAGTTCAGAGGCCAAGCTGGGCAAGTTGATTTCAGGTCAGCCTGAGCTACTTGTGAGAACCTGCCTCTAAAAACAAAACAACAAAAAACACCTGCACAGTAATTCTGGCCAGCAAATTAAGGGCTATACATCTAGCTCAGTGGTAGAGTGCCGCTGGGCTTGATCCTAAATACTACAAAAAAATAATACATTTTTATAAAAGTAAATTAGGAGGATACATTTCAGGCTTTTGTTCAGATTTTGTGAATAGTGAAATGCCTTCATCTGACTGATCATGAATATTACGGAGTATCCAATCATGCTTATTAGAATACCGGTACCAAGGTGGAGGATTTCAGACTGTCACTAATGTGAATGTTTAACAAGCTAACACTTTGATCATTTTCCAAAGTTTTAACCTTAGCTAAGGATATACCAACAGTTCTCAATAATGGTTAAAACTAGCTTAGAGTCAAATCCTAAGAGCCTCTTCATCTGTAGAACTCATTTGCATGATTCACTTGTATGGTCTAGGTATTCTCTTCCTGCCTCAATCTGGCTGTGTGTGTGGGGGGTACCAGTTTATCAGTATCAACTGAGTTTTGTTTTTTTATAAACATTATTACTCTTGATATAGTGACTAGCTTCCCGTTAAACATTTTATCAGTACTTCTCATCTAATAAATTAGAGCTTATAAATGTAACAACTTAAACACACCTATTTAATTAGTATGTGCCAGCTCAGCATGGTGGCACATACCTGTAATCGCAGCACTTAGGAGGCTGAGGCAAGATAACTGCAAATTTGAGGCTATCCTGAGCTACATCTTACCTCAAAAGTGGTCCCCACCCATGCAAGAATCATGGCTATTGCCCTTCATGATTTGGACCCAGCCTTATTTTCAGATGCCTTTTCCTAACTCAACTGCCTGATTACTCTGCTCCTTAAGCCTCTGGTGCATTGTCTCTCCTTGGGCTACCTCTGTGTTGAGCCAGAAAGGCCCTCTCTTGTGAACAGGCTCCTTCTCTATGTCCAAGCTCCTTCCCTAAGTGTAAGCCTCCTCCATCTGCCACTGTGACACCTCTCACATTCTATATTTACCTCTCTTGCTAGACTGACAGGAGGTCAGGGGCTATATAAAGCAGTATGCCCAGATGGGTGTGGTGGCGAGTATCTGTCATCCCAGCACTCTGACAGGCTAAGTCAGGGGGAATCACAAGTTTGAGGCCAGCCTGAAGTACAGAGTGGGAAGAGAGAGGAGACATCCTAAATTATAATGAACAAGATTTAGACTTACTTATGAGCTAATTTATGAGTTAACAAAGTAGAGATTTGTAGAGACCCTGACACTGGTTTACCAACCAGCTTGGTTTGGAAGTCAATATAGCACAATGAGTACGATAATGGTCCCTGGAGTCGGATGGATCCAGGTTTGAATCCAGTGTCCTTAATTTATAGCTTTTTTGAGCAATTTACTCTCATATATAAATATGGGGACTCATTCTGCCTCTTACGGTTGTCACAAAGGTATGGTGAAAAAATATATAAAAGCAGTTAGCAGAGTGTCAAGACAGAAGGAGTACCCAATAAATCATGCCATTTATCTAATGTATGAGGCATTAATGCAGAACTCAGTAAGTTATAAAGGAATAGAAGACTGGGAGCTGACACTGCATTAAAAGGATAAAAATGGCTAGAGTATAAGCTTCAATATCAGTCTGAGAAATCTGATTAGGACTGTAACCAGGATAATCTAGAATTTTGTTAGGAGAGTAACCTGAGGAAAACTGCATTTAAAGAGGCTAATTCTAAGTATATACAATACAGGATTTGGGGGATGTACATGTTTACACTAAGGACTGAGTCATAATCCATACAGGACACAGAAAAATACAGAGCTGAAATGGAGAAATAAAAGATAAATTAAAACTGAAGAAAAAAGTAGGTGCATCCATATAGGAAGAGCTCTCTCCTACCAGGTGGGGTGGTACATACCTATAAACCCAGCTACTTAGGTGGAAGCAGGAGAGTACCAAATTCAAAGTTCCTGGGTTACCAGACAGGCGAGCAAAAAGTGGCTTTACATCAACAGATTCCATTTCCAGGGCATTATTATGGGCGTAATTTCTAGGGCCCCGCTTCTCTTTCAGTAGCAGAAGCTGTGAGAAAGTCTGCAACTTGGGATCCACAGACAGACTTTCAAAGACCTTAACGATTCTCATTTATGCAAGATTTACATTTGTAGGCCTATTTCTCTGGGAGGAGGTGTTGTCTTTCATCAAATTCACAAAGGGATCTTGAAAACAAATAGTTACACTTAGAGAAAGCAGCAGCTGTCATTTATTAAGCTCTTAACAATTCCCAGGCACTATTCTAAGAGCTTTACAGGCATTACCTCTGTGCATGACAATATTCTAAGGCAGGAATCACTAAGCCTTATTGACACACAGAAACCGAGGCACAGAAATGAGCTTAGAGTAACTCCAACCAGCAAAAGCTAAAGTTTAAATCCAGACAATTTGGTGCCTTAGCACCCACTTCTAAGAAACATCATCTTTTAGTCACTAACTTATTTTTTAAAACTTATTCTATTCTTCTCGCTAAGGCAGGAATTGCGATAGTGACATAAGAAAAATTGTGCATAACGATTCAGTTGTTCACCTTTTAGGTATCCTCCTGAAAGAGTTAAAAGTCATACCACAGTCATGTTTATTACAGCACAATTTATAATTTATAATACTAGCTGGGCGCGGTGGTACACACCCGTAATCTCAGCACTTGGGTGGCTGAAGCAGGAGAATCACTGTGAGTTCGAGACCAGCCTGGGCTACACAGTGACTTCCAGGTCAGTCTCAACTACATAGTGAGACCCTGTCTCAAAACAAACAAACAAACAAAAAAAGTTTTCACTATAATTTATAATACTAAAGCATGGAAACAACCCATATGTGCGTTGACAGATGAATGGATAAAGAAAATTATTTACATACAATGGAAACTTGAGGCATTTTTAAGTAAATGGATGCCACAGTCTTAAGTGAAATAAACCACACACTTAAATATGGCATAGTTCCTCTTGTGTGAGAAACCCCAAGTGTAAATAAGGAGCAAAACAGGACAAATATTGAAAAAGTAGGAAGAACTTTTTCAAATTGCAAGGGGAACATGAGATGGAGGGGGGGAGAAGGAGGAATCTAAAAAGAAAGAACTGAAGGGAAGAAAATGGAAATAGAACTTTTAGAAATGAGGCAGGGAAGAAGAGTTGGAGGGAAGGGGGGAAAAAATGAAGATGTGTTATGTACATGTACAAATTCCCCATTGATGAAAGTGTTCGTTATGCACTTCAAACATGTACTAATACAAAATATTATGTACAGAAGTTCCAAAACTAAGCACTACCCTTAATTGGCAAAACTGTAACTTAAATAAAAAACTAAACATGCTTAGACCTTTATTATAACCATGCCACATTTTATTTTGTGGCCTGCATATTTTTACTGAGGTAACAACCTCTTCCCTCTCCCTCCAACCTTTTGTTTTGAGACAAGGTCTCACTATTGTAGTTCAGGCTAGCCTTGAACTCATTATATAGCCCATGCTGGCCTCTGACTTGCCACAATCCTCCTGCCTCAGCCTCTATAGAGTTTGAGGATGACAGGTGTGCATCCCCACACCCAACAACAACCCCTTCTTTTCTTCTTCACCTACCACAAACCAAGGCCAAAACAATAACAAAATAAAACAAAACAGTAAGACTACTAATGATTGGCCAGGCATGGCAGCACACGCCAGTAATCCCAGCACTTAGGAGGCTGAAGCAGGAGGATCACTGTGAATTCGAGACCAGCCTGGGCTACACAGTGAGTTTCAGGTCAATTTCAACTACATAGTGAGACCCTATCTCAAACCCCCTCCCCAAAAAAAAGCTGTAACATTTGTTTGTTTTGAGAGAAAATCTTGCTATGTAACCCAGGCTGGCATTGAACTTTCAGTCCTCCTGTCTCAGCCTACTTCCTGAATGTTGCAGTTACAGAATTGTGCGGCTTCTGGGTGTGACAGTGCATGCCTGTAATCCCACAATTCAAGAGGCTGAGACAAGAGGATTGCCATGAATGAGGCCCTGTCGCAAAGCCTGGCAAGTCTGAGGTCCTGAGCTTTTGGGGAGTTTTCTTTGTTTTATTTTGTTTTTTCTGGTACTGGGGATTGAACTTGGGACCTTGCGCTTATAAGGTAGGTGATGGAACCACTGAGCTAAATCCCCAGCCCCAGACTTTGATCCTCCACCCAAAAAAAAGAATCATGCAGCTATATTCAGTTCCTGTAAAAATTTCTAATAAAAATTGGAAAGAAGCCAATGGTGGCTGTACATTGGCGTATTTTTGTTGGGGGGGTGTCTTTTTGCGGTATTGGGGGTTGCACCCAGGGCCTCCTGTATGATAGGCAAGTGCTATGCTACTTAGCTATATTCCAATCTCTTTTTGTTTTATAGACAAGATTGCTAAATTTTCTAGGCTGGGCTTGAACTTGTGATCCTTCTGCCTCAGTTTTCCAAGTAGCTGGGACTACAGGTGTACACCACCATACTGGGCTTGAAGCACTTTTAGATTTATGGAATTCTGCTTTATTCAGTTTATTAAACAAAAGCTAATGAAATTATTGCCTCCAAAACAACAGGCACAAAAACCCAAAACAAATAAAATAAAAAACAACAGGCACAGAAACAAGTTACCTATCTGAAAGAATAACGCCATTAGTTAGTTACAAAATTTAATGATAAGAAACCATGGTTGATGGTGGAACCAACCCACACTGACACCTCTGAAGTGTGCAGATGCTAGTTTTTAAACAATTAAACAAAGGGACAGATACTGATTATGCTCCCATAATACTGTTTGGGACCTATATAAAACTCAATTCTGGACATAGTTCACTATATAAGGTTAAAAGAACAACAGTGAAATCACTAATAATTAAACCAAAAGGTGCAGTTTCCAAATCATTTTCAGTGAGACAGAATAAACCCACTGTAACTTTTAAACTTATGACGATAGATAAAACTCAAAGAAATCTATTTTTCTACCTGAGATCAAAATACATTTTCTGGTTTGTTTTTTTTTTTTGGTACCGGGGATTGAACTCAGGACCTTGCTCTTGTGAGACAGGTGTGATCTCACTGAGCTAAATCCCCAGCTTTCTGTTTCTTATCTAAACATAATTCTTAGCATTGAAGTAATTCACATACTTTGTCAAATTTTTCCAAAAAAGGTTAAGCCTTGCTTTAGAGATTCTTGTGTTACACATATATATTTACATTTTTTCTTCAAAGACTAACAACAAGGTTATGTGGCTAACAGGTCTGCAAAAGGACTGATACTACTACTGATAATGAAAATAAAAAGCCACTCATCTGTACAAGTGTATCTGTAGGTGCAATATGAACTGGGATCACAGGCTCTACATACATGCATGAATCCCTAGAGTTTAAAATGCCCCAAACTCACTATGTAGCTTAGGCTTCGCCTTGAACTTGTGATGATCCTCCTGCCTCAGCCTCCCAATCACTGGGATTACAGGCATGTACCACTATGTCTGGCTACGCTTACTTTTAAAAAACTTCATTTTATGGAAACAAAGCTTTTGTGCATAGGGAGGGGAGGGAGTTTGAGGGGGGAAAATGGAATAAAATAAAATAAAAAAATTTTAAAAACACCCATTTTATGCTACTCTTTGAGGCAGGGGTTACAAAATGGTGATGTAAAAAGCTGGGCATGATGGTACACTCCTGTAATCCCAGCACTCGGGAGGCTGAGGCAAGAGGATTGCTGTGAATTCGAGACCAGCCTGGGCTACATAGTGAGTTCCAGGTCAGTCTCAACTACATAGTGAGATCCTGTCTCACAAAAAAAAAAAGGTGATGTAGGATAAAGATACTGTGCATAAAAGTTCCAAACCCAAGCATTATCCTACATTGGCAAAAACTGCAACTTAAATAAAAAACTAAACATGACTAGATCTTTATTGTAGCTATGCAACTTTGTCTTTTGTGGCCCGCATGAATAATTTTACTATGGTAAAAACCTCTTCTCTCTTTTACCTACTACAAACCAAGGCCAACAACGAAAACAAAACATACTACCACAGCTGCCTTCTTTACGGCTGTCTTTGGCAGTGCTTCCAAATCTTTTTTTGGGGGGCGGGGTACGGGGATCGAATGCGGGTTCACTGCGCTTGTGAGGCAGGCGGCGGAACCACTGAGCTAAATCCCTGGCCCCAGTGCTTCCAAATCTTGAAAGCGAAAGGACGTGCTGAGGTAAAGAGGTGATACTCCTCCGTTCTTGCTAGACATGATGTATGAAAACCAGTCTAAGAGTATGAATAGAGAATAGTGAAGGCCGGCAGTAGTCTACCCTCAAGAGAAACAGAAAATAAAGTAGGGAGGCTATTACTACACTGGCCCCTCTTCTACATTATCTCCCGATTAGCACAGTGTGAGATCAAAATTTCCAGCTCTGAAAAGGCAACGGCGGTGTAGGAGGAGCAGCTAGAGAAGTGAATAAATGGTGACACAATACAGCAGGAGCTTTAGCTGTCAATGAGTTTCTTTGCTCTGGTATTGGCAATGTCAATACGATCTTTGTTGGTGTCAGCCTGAAAAAGAGAAATAGATCATCATCATTACCTCCCAAGGTAAGCCATCTTGATAAAAGTAAGACTTAGGCTAGGAATGTAGTGCATTGGTACAGTGTGCATCGTGCAAGTGTAAGGCCCTGGGTTCAGTGCTCAACACCAGGGAAATAGTGAAGCTCTATAAACCTGGAGTAATCGACCCACTGAGAGAACACAAGAAGCACTAAAGTCACATTACAATACTCATTTTGGGTGAGAAGTGACAGACTATGGGCTATCCTGTGAGTCCACCACAGCTGGCGCTGCATCTGAATGCGATGTGTGCTTTCATTTTTGCTTTTTACCCTCTTTTTCTCTGTTTGACCCAAGTTTGCTCTGCAGAGCTGGTTTCTCCCATACCCACCCAATTACCTGCACTTTTTAAATAAACTTTTTGGCACCATTTAAAAAAAAAAGCAACAAGCCAGGCATGGTGGTGCACGCCTGTAATCCCAGCACTTGGGAGGCTGAGGCTGGAGGATCACTGTGAGTTCGAAACCAGCCTGAGCTACACAGTGAGTTCCAGGTCAGTCTCAACTACAGAGTGAGACCCTGTCTCAAAAAACCAAAACAAACAAAAAAGCAACAGAATATGAAATGTTTTGAAAAACCATAGTGTATAAATGTAACAAATGTGTAACAGAAAATTATCCAATATTTTATCAATTCTTTTTTTTCCCCCTGGGTTTTTTTGAGACAGAGTCTCAAACTTGCTATATAGCGCAGGCTGGCCTCAAACTCATGGTGGTCATCCTGCTTCAACCTCCCAAGTGCCTGATTACAGGTGTGTGCTACCATGCCCAGCCCAGTATTTTTATCAATTCTACAACATATTTTTTTCCAGTGCCAGGGTTTAAACTCAGGATCTTGTGCTTGCCAGTCAGGCATAGCACTACTAGCTACATTCATTCCCAGCTATGATGCATTTTTCCATAGTTTACATGTTCAAAGCTGAGATGCATCTTATAATCAATGGTTTCTTAAATGTTTTTTATTTTTAATTTAATTGATTGAGACAGGGTCTCACTATGTAGTCCAAGATGGCCTTGAATTTGCAGTGATCCTTCTTCGTCCACCTCCTGAGCACTGGAATTTTAGGTGTGTGCCACCATGCCCAACTTTGAAGTATGGAATTTAGATTTGATTCATTCAAACACTGAAAACAATCTGTCATTCAGTATCTTTTTTGTTTTTGTTTTTGGTACTGGGGATCGAACTTAGGACCTTGCAATTGTGAGGCAGTGGCACCACTGAGCTAAATCCCCGGCCCTGTCTTTCAGTATCTTTTATACTATGTAAAATTAAAAAAAAAAAAAAAAAAGAATCACAATTTTTCTTTACTCTGATGACCATTTTGTGTCGTTCAAGGACTATTTTGTAGAACTGCTTCTTGGTTTTTCCTGAGATGTGACTTCTGGAACATTACTAAATTAGTACTTAACACAATAAAACTGGTTGGGCATGGTGGCGCACCCCTATAATGCCAGAACTCAGGAGGCTGAGGCAGGAGGGTAACACTGAGGCTACATAGTGAATTCAAGCCCAGCCTGAACTGCATAGCAAGACCCTGCCTCAAAACAAATAAACACAGTAAAACTAAAAGCTAACAGCCACTGGCAAAGTGTGAGGGAAGACACTCAACTGCTACAGCAGATTAGCTTTGTGTTGAAGTTTAAATAAAACAACCTCATTCTAAGACTGCAGCTTCAAAATGAACCAAATAAGATGGGAGGACTTGGCTTCAATTTTTCAGTGTGTTAAAAGCTCTTCACCATCATTAAAACTCTGTATCCTGTACAGACAAGAACATGTCCTGTGGATGTCCCCGCTGTATCTATCACAGAGGGCCATTCCGAAAATGTTCCCTGAACTGAAGGTCTCACTTTCTTGTGGCCATAAAAGGGTTTTACCTTTTCTGTGATCCGGTCTATTTGTCGATTTTGAGCTTCGATTTCATTCCCCATGTCCAAGGCCATGTTCTTTAGATTTCCCAGGATATTGCCCACTTGAGTCAGGTTTTCTTCCATCTCATCTTCTCTGGCGTCATTAGTTATGCTACCAGAAATAAAGAGTTAGTTCAGTACTTTTTATTACAATACAATGGTCTAATCCTGCATTTAATTTTCATAGAAGTAGCCAAAACGATACTGAACAAGTGTTAAATCCAAGGAGAAATAGGCTGCTATTCTGGGGAAATGTTCTATAGTGACTCCCAGCATTACCTAGGTACCTGTTAGACACAGGAATATGCCAGCAGTTACACTATGTCCTGGAACTACTCAATCAGAAAGTGTGAGTGGCTCCCATCAAGCTTGCTTTTTCAGAGGGGTCTTACCATGTTGATTGAGTGGCTTTGATCTCCTGGGATCAAGCAATTCTTCTGCCTCAGTCTCCCAAATAGGACTACAGAAGCATGTCAACACTCCCAGCTTAATCTGTGATTTTTTGTTTGTTTGGTCGGTTGGGGTTTGAGACAGGGTCAGGCTGGCCTTGAAATCACCATGTAGCTCAGGCTGGCCTCACAGTGATCCTCCTGCCTCTGCCTTCCAAATGCTAAGATTATAGGCATGTGCCATCCTTCACACCCAGCTGGGTTTTTTTGGGTTTTTTTTGTTTTTTTTTTTTTTTGAGACAAGGTCTTGTTATATAGCTTAGCTGGCCTTAAACCTGTGATCTTCTTGCCTCTACCCCCTGGAGGTGTACACAGGGGTTAAGGGGTGCATCACCAAGCCCAGCTTCACTCTGTTTTAACAAACTCTCAAGTGATTTTTTTTTTCCTTTTTGGTGGTACTGGGGATTAAACTCAGGTCCTAGAGCATGCTAAGTAAGTGCTCTATCATTAAGCTTCATCCCAATCCTTTTCCACTGAGTCAGGGTCTTACTAAATTGCCTTGAACTTGTGATCCTCCTACTTCAGCATCTTGAAAAGCTGAGATAACAGGAGTGTACCATTTCTGTCTCTCTCTCTCTGAGACAGGACCTTTTTATGTACTTCAGGCTGGCCTTGAACTGAAGGTGGTCCTCCTGCCTCAGACTCCCCAGTGCTGCAATTTCAGGAGTGCACCACCACACCTGGCTTCTGTCATTCTTGCTTTTTTTTACATACTGTCCAGCCGGAGATTTAGCTCAGTGGTTCCACCACCTGCCTCACAAGGAGAAGAACCTGAGTACGATCCCCAGTACCAAAAAAAAAAAGAAAACTTTTACATATTGTCTCCAGGCTGCTTTCATCTTATAACTGAGTTGAGTACTTGCAACAAAGACTCTATGAATGTGAAACAATTACTAATTGGCCCTTAACTAATATCCTTACAGGAATTCAGCCAACCCCTGCTCTAGATAATATAGCTTGAAACATTTTATGAAAGTAAGCAGGTCTATGTTAATACCTTGAAAAGCATAAAGTTGCACAATAACCACAGTCAACATTTTGTCAGATGGCAGATATTTAAAAGCAGCTTCAATGGAACAAATATTATTTCTAACTGGTGAGACAGGGTACACTCATAGCTCCTAAGTGGGCAGCAGTCACTAGGAAAGGTGTGGCATGTGGAAGGAGCTGGCATACCGTTTAATGTATCTACCGCTGGCTGCACCGCTGGCTGGCTGCTGAGGCTGGCCATTTGTGACTCGGGCTGGTTGCTTCGATACCACGTCGCTAGGTGAGCTGCCTCCGCCATCTCCCCACGTTGCCTTATAGGCCTTACCAGACTCAAAATTCTTCGTCCTACAGAGGTTAGGAGTGTAGAGCCCAAGAAAGCATGACAGGGAGAATGTAATTATTAATGCTCATTGCCTTAAGAGTGTCCCTAACTCTGTTAGCAGAAAAACTGCACACAGCTAAATCTAGACTACTTCTCTCTGCCTCATGCAATATAGGACAAGAAAAGGATGAACCATAAACTCACTGATATAAAATCTTTTTTTTTTATTAATTTTTATTTTTTGAGACCTGGTCTCACTATGTTGTTCAGGCTGGCTTCAAACTCAGAGCAATCCTCCCGCCTCGGCCTCCCAAGTGCTGGGATTATAGGTGTGTGCCACCACACTTGGCTTTACATCATTTTTTAAAGGCCTAAATCTCCACTAAGCTATAGCAAGTAGTAAAATGCAATTATGTGATTTTTAAGGTGCCTTGGGGTTAATGGACAGTTAAAAACACAAGTGTCCTAGGATGCCACAGGAGGTTCTCTGAAGACACCTCAGGTTGTGAAAGGATGGCAGAGTAAGATTGAATAGGTAATAGTTTAGCACCATTCTTTGCCCACTTTTTTTTTTTTTTTTTTTTGGCAGTACCAGGGATTGCACTCAGGATCTGGCAAGGCAAGCACAGTCCCACTGAGCTAAATCCCTGGCCCTCTTTGCCCACTCTTAATTGAGCTAGTGTAGTGCCAAGTGACTTTTTCTGTTAAAATTCTGCAAGAATTTTTAAAAAGAATTTCTTCAAAAACAAAATTTCATGAAAAGGAATGGGTTGTTTCCAAATCAAACAATCAGTTGATGAATAACTGCTCTGGGCACATAGGTGCCAGTTACAAATCCTCTGATTATGGCTTTTTCATTTAGGAATTTACTTTTTCTCTAAGAAAAAAAAAAAAAAAAACAAAAAAACAAACAACAACAACAACAAAAAAACCCCAACTAAATCTAGTCCTTCTTTAAAATAAAAGCAGGCTAAAAAAAAAAAATACAAAATAAAATAAAAGTAGGCTGGGCATGGTGGCACATGCCTATAATTCCAGCACTCAAGGAGCCAAGGCAGGAGGATCGCGCTGCAAGTTCAAGGCCAGCCTGGACTATGTAATGAGTTCAAAATCAGCGTGAACTACACAGTGAGACCTTGTCTCAAGTAAATAAATGAATGAATAAAAGCATATGCTTTAGGCAATTAATACAATCAAAAATTACTCAATGCCACTATACTATATACTACCCAGACTGATGCAACTGGCACAAAAAAGAGCCTCAGAAAAGTGACTTTTAGATAGTCATTTCAAATAAGTTATATAAAAATTTTGGCCAGATACAATTAAGCTTTCACTTAATTTTAGTTTTTATTTTTCTGTAAACAAAAATAAAACAGTATGTTGCTATATTATTACCCTCTGATTTAGTCTACATTATATGTTAATGAGGAGGTCTCACAATTGCAGAACTTGCAAAGGCAGAGAAGAAATTCTAAGAAAAGTTGGCTCCTTCCTCAAAGGCATGTGAGGATCTATTTTTGGGAAATCTAGAATTGGATCTTAGACCTTACTCATTAATTTTATTTATTTAATTTTGGTACTGGGTATTGCACTCAGGGCCTAACATTTACCAGGCAGGCGCTGTACCACTGAGCTACATCTCCAACCCTCATTAATTTTATAAAAAGGACACTACTACTTTTTTGGGTGAAACATTTTTGTGCCAAGATAAAATTTATGAATACTAAGGGCCGGGGATTTAGCTCAGCGGTTCAGTGGCTGGCCTTGCAAGTGTCAAGGACCCGAGTTCAATCCCCGGTACCAAAAAAAAAAAAAAAATTTATGAATACTAAAAAGTAGTTATCAAAGTGCCTCTCTTGAGCCAGGGATTTAGCTCAGTGGTTCTGCCACCTTCCTCACAAGCACAAGGTCACAAGTTTGATCCCTGGTACCAAAAAAAAAAAAAAAAAAAAAAAAAAAAAAAAAAAAAAAAGAGCAAAGTGACTTCATTGGTTTCTTATATCAATTTTATTTCTATTTATGCTATTTATTAATTCATTTATTAATAAGCCATCTTAAATCCTTCCTGGAACAAGGTGGGATATGCAGTTTTTAAATGAGTGTTTTCATATATTATCCATTAGTTCAGTGAGTGTATTCTGTATTAATGATAGATCCCAGGTGAAATTCTAAAGCAGAGTAATGATACACAAACAATATATTAACTTATCAGAAGGCAAGTAACTGTAAGATTTTGTTTTAATTTTGGAGCCTAGCGAATGAACTCAGAGCCTCACACTTGGTAGGCATGCCTTCTACCACTGAATCTGTCCCCCAGCCTGGGGCTTTTGTTAGAACATCAGATTGTGGAACAGGTGGAAGAGAGAGGGTTTGGATTCAAAGAGACTAATGAGACAGACAGTAGGTCTCTCAAAGTAGCACACAAAGAGCATATTGAGGCTGGACTTGGGGGCCGCTGGTTTATCAAGGTTTCAACCTCAGCTCTACCCAGAGCTTACAGTTCATGACTCTATGTGCACAGATCATTAATATGTTTACTTTTGCACCCATTGACACACCTTAGTTTTGAGATCTATTTGTAGCTGAATACAGTTGGAATATGGTTAGGTTGTTTTAAGAAAAAATAGTTCTGACCTGACAAGACTCTTGCACAATAAAATTTACAGCCCATTCTGGGAAGAAACTAGCCTACATTAGAAAATGTTTAATCAAATTTATAATAAATTTTAATAAGATATGAACTCCATCTGAAAAGTATATTTACAGATAAAGATTAAAGATTTAGGACCAGAGATTTAGCTTGGTGGTTCTGCCACCTGCCTCACAAGCACAGGGTCCTGAGTTCGATCCCCAGTACCAAAACAAGCAAACAAACAGAAAGATTAAAGATTTATACCTGATAGTTAGTTTTCAGAAATCTAATCTTTTTCAAGTACTGGAGATTGACTCCAAGGCCTTCACAATGATCTATACCTCCAGCCCTTTTAAATTTATTTATTTATTTATTTATTTATTTATTTATTGGTGCCAGGGATTGAACTCAGGACCTTATACTTTCAAGGCAGGTACAGTGCCACTGAGCTAAATCCCCAGCCCCACAATTTTATTTTTAGACACGATCTCACTAAGTTGCTAAATTGCCCTGGGTAGGCTCAAATTTGGAAGCATCCTACCTCAGCCTCCCAGAGTACTGGGATTATAGCCATGGACCACCACATTCAGCTAGAATCTAATAATCTGTCACTTTTACTTTTGTTCACTTAAATATCTTATTTATTAAGAATGGCAAGGTTAAAAAAAGGATCTGAAATAGTCCTTAATGAATTCAAGAAGCTGCTATAAAAGCACAAAATATAAACTATCAAGACATAGGCACAAAAACATTAAAATTTGTCCTCCTGGTTCTGGCTGTCATCATTAGCACTTAATAAAAACAACAAAAATAAAGTCAAATATTACCTACTATTATATTAAGGAGAAAGGGGATTGTACAAATATTAATTTAATACAAGAGGGAGAAAGGGGGAAAGAATGATATCAGAGTGTTACATGATTGTGTTATAGGAAAAGAAAGGCAGAAAATAAAGGATACTTTTAGATATTTCATTTAACACAGTCTTTAGTCTTTATCATTTTCATAAAGGTGCAAAATAGGCTAGGCAAGGTGGCAATCCCAGCACTTGGGAGGCTGAGGCAGGAGGATCACTGTGAGTTCGAGACCAGCCTGGGCTACACAGTGAGTTCCAGGTCAGTCTCAACTACATAGTGAGACCCTATCTCAAAAAACAAAAACAAAACAAAACAAAGATGCAAAATCAAGGAGGCAGACATTACAATATAGAGTAAAGTAACTAAAGAGGTAATTCTCATGAAAAAATTAAGAGTTCTATATTAATTCAACACAAAATCATGGCAAACTAATGTGATTTAATAGGAATTATGGAACACATTATAATGTGTAGAGGGGGATCTTTATTTTTCAAATTAATTAATCAATTATTTTTAGAGACAAGAGGTCTCACTATGTAGTTCAGGATAGCTTTGAATTCACTAAGTAGCTCAGGCTGGCCTTAAACTCAAGGTGATCCTCCTGCCACAGCCTCCCAAATGCTGGAATCACAGAAGTGCACCACAATGCCTGGCAGGAATCTTTATTTTTAAAAAGAATATCCCATCTTATTCTCAATAGGATTTAGTATGACTAGGTTGGCAATTAATTTCTTGTAGTGGCCTAAATCATGGGGAATTCCAATCATTAGAAACAACACTTTTAAAAAGAAAAATCGTAAACTGGGCGTGGTGGCGCACACCTTTCCCAGCACTTGGGAGGCTGAGGCAAGAGGATCGCTGTGAGTTCGAGACCAGCCTGGATTACATAGTGAGTTCCAGGTCAGTCTCAACTATACAATGAGACCCTGACTCAAAAAGCCAAAAAAAAAAAAAATAAATAAATAAATAAAAATTTAAAAAAAAAAGAAAAAGAAAAATCATGATTCAAGACCTAGAAATCAAAGTCCTACTGAGAGATAGCCTTAAGTTTTTTTTACCTCTGATACGAACTAGACTGCAGCCATTGTCTATAAATACAACCTATTTCAAACTTAGAAGACTTGAAAAGTATTTTTATTTTGGTAATATCAATGTTGTCCAGCAGAACACATAAGTTAGCATTCAGCCAAAGGGAACTTTTACACACAAAGATTTGTTCGTCAAGTCTATCTTTTGTCCGTACCCACGGAGAGGAGATTCACTTTACATTACACAGCACGGCACGGTTTCAGACAGTCTCCACCACTCACAGAAGCATGCACATGCACAGCAAGGCCACTACTGAAGCTTCACCTTGAAAGAGCAGGTTAGCAGCCCGCACTGCACCACAGACTGCATCTTAGAGAGCGCCCTCTCATCAGTAACTGAGCCCAGCTCCTGAGGTTAGATCTTCGTTTTAGTAAACAGATTAGAAAGGAAGAGATTAGGTTGGAGAAAGAAATGCAGAAAACAGTAAATGCCAGTCAAATAG